TGCATTTAAATTTTGAATAGTTGCACACAATTTTTTCTAAATAATTAGATTAGGTGACTTTAAATATCAAAGATGAACCGCTTTTGTTACCAAAAAATGTGGACACAATTTTGAATGTACATCCCGTCCAAATATCAGTTTTGTTTTAAAATAAAAATTGCACGTGGTTTTATTTTTTATCCAATTTACACACTTTTTTTTAAGAAGAAATTATACAATAAGATTTGTAGAATTGGTTAAGAATTATACTACTATTTGTTTCCTAAATTTTTATCCAATTTGCATGGTTTTTAAATTAATTTGTATTTAGAATTGTTTTCATAAATAATTGACACATTTTTTGCATAAAAATCTCAAAATTTGTTACCAGAAAAGATATGATTTAAATTTTGATAAAAAAATAAAAAATATGATAAAAAAAAAATGAGATTCAAATTTTGCCATAAGAATCTCCAAATTTGTTACCAAAAAATAGGATTCAGATTTTGTTACTAACGATTCACATGTGTTTTTTCGAATTTTCCATTAATAGTAAGTCAAACATTATATTTATTTGGTCAAACTTTCTATTAATATATTTTTCCAATAACTTCTATATATATATATATAGAAGATATAGATATAGATATAGATATAGATTAGATCCGCGCATTTCTAAACCATTTCAAATTGGGCTTTCCTCATCTGCAGCATAGAAAGTCATAATGGGCTTTAAAATTGGGCTTACGACCTTTTGACTCGTTAGTTTAAAAGGTGGATGCTGACATTATATAGGATTTGTTTCTCATATATCCATTGTGATTTGGGCAGAAAAAATGTACAATCTTCAACAAAAGGCATCATCTTATTTTCGCCCTCCTCATGGGCTTGCAATTGAGCGCATGTTGAAATATATTATTTATAGACACCTTTGCTTTTTATTTTTATTTTCTTAGATAATACTATTTATTGAAATTTCACATTTTCTATCATCATTATTAATTTGTTTAGTTTTTTATCGATCTTGAGTTTTTATTTATTTTTTCTATCTCAATGTGATCATGTGGCATAGACTCATAGTCTCATTTTTTTCCCTATAAACACTTTCCATCATTATTCTAAATTTGATTTACAGAAGGGAAAAAAAAAAAGGAACACAAAATAAAGTGGGATAAAAGTAAATCCCATATATTGTTTCAAACGTTTCTTGGTCTCTAAGGCATTTTCGACTCGGCTTGTTAAGTTATAAACGAGCCGAATTATATTAAAAGTTTACAAGTTATGTAAAACCCTTGTTTTTCAAGCATAAACAACAAGTAAGGTTATTTCCTCTAAAAAGCACACGTCTTGTATCATAATTTTGAGCATGTAAATATATATTTACAAAATGTTGAATTCTTAAAATGTTTTCATAAAACTAAAAATGGGAAGGTTTGCAATTTTGCATGATATGTTGTGTTTTTTGGTGCCTCGAAGTGAATTATATTTGTCGTATGGTTCAACTAAATGAATCAATTAACAAGATTTGGGCTATGTTATGATGTAATTTTTTTGTGCATTGAAGTCAAGATATATATATATATATATATATATACATATGGCTCCTTTTTATTTTTTATTTTTTCCAAAATTTATGGGTTGTGGGGTCAACTAAAAAGTGGCAAGAATATGTAACACGTATTGTTACGTACACATGCAACATAACTTCCACGCACCGCCCAAAAATATTTATATTAATTACTGAAGAAATTAAATACAAACATTTTGTTTTGTTTTGTTTTTTCACTTGAACATGAAAATCTAATTGACCCCACATCAATAATTGACGATCAAATTACACACACGAGTCAGCAAATTCAGAATGTTCCTATCAACGATGAAGTGCATTTAATTTCAATAATAAAGAATCTTTACTTTTATTTTTTCCCATTACCAAATTTTCTTGTAAGATTTTGTTCATATAAAATGTTCTGTTTGGATAACTATGGATCACTAGTTTTGTTCCCTTTTGTAAAAGATTGGAATTTAATTCCACAAGAACTTCTTAGTTCAAAGTAAGAGGAACTTTGTGAAGAATGTATGTAGTGTTTATTCATTTTGTCAAGTTGGGATATTATTTCTTTTTTGGATGAAAGTGTGCGAAAAAATTGGCTAATAAATATAAAAATGTGTTGATCTAGGAATAACCCTCATTTACATTGGTTAAGGAATGTCTAGGAATAGTACTTTAAACAGTAAGTAAAGGTGGCTAAATGGTTGTTCCGGGTTGTGGTTTAGAAGGCCTTGAACCGGTCCATAAATATATATTAGCTGACTCGGGCCCAACTCATAAATAAATTTAAAAAAAAAAAATAAAAAAAGACCGAATCATCGATTCTGGTTTCAGTTCAGAACTGGTCCAACAATTTAAAAAATTACAAAAATGTGATTCAGAATTGACCTGGTTAAACAACGAGCTCGGTTACAAATCAAGTTTGTAGTAAAGGATTTTCTAGCCTTTAGACATGCTCTGGTCCGACGCTGAGCTGATTTTGTTCGCGTCTACAATCAAGTTTGTACTAAAGGATTCAACCAATGTCCACGCAACCAAATTATTTGAGGCAGATATATAAAACTACTCTATTATAATGATATAGACCGATAGAATATATAAATGTAATTGTTATTGATTTTAATAATAGTGTGATTCATAATGTCACAGGATCATACATGTGTTATTATGTCAAATTTTATATTATCCTTTATGTCAATGTAGCATGATCCTACATTCCATAGCATGAGCAATTGATTCGAAGTCATCTTGAAATATGTAACTATGTCAAATATGACTATGAAGGGTGCGTCTATGACAATTACACGAAGCAAACTAGTTATGTTATTGTTATGCATGTCTAAAGGTTAGAAAACCATTACTTGGTAACAAATATATATATATATATATATATATATATATATATTTTATTTTATTTTTTTTAAATTGAAATATTATACTTTGGAAGACAACAGGGCCGGCCTTGGCCCAAGGCGACTTGGGCAACAACCCAGGGCCCAATGCAATAAGGGGCACCAGACCGGCCCATTTATATCATTCCTTTATCTCATTCTCATTTTAATTTGAAATTAGAAAAAGAAAATGAATGAAGATCAGCCCAGTTCAAGGGTTACCCATATTTATTGCAAAAAAATATCTCTTGTACTTTTTCTCTTCCATATAACATTTTTTATTCACACCTAGACACTACCCTATATTTCTCTCTCTCTCTCTACTTAATTAATTAATTAATTATATATATATATATTATTTTAAGTACCCTACTTATCTTATTTATTTTTGAAAAAAACTATTTATATAATTTACTTTTTAAAAATAATTTTATTTTTTATAGCAATTATAATTATTTCATAGTTTATAATTGCTTCACTAATTAATTTTTTTTTCAATGAAGTTTAAAGTTAGTTTAATGTATATTTAAACACATTTAGTAATATTTAATGAAAACATACAATATCTTTTAGAATGTAACATCATGTCATTATCTTTTATGCGTGCAATGATTTTTTATTGGATCTGCTTGTAGTTGCTAGCTTTTTTATGAGGTTGTATTTTATTTTTTTAGATTATATAACTCTATTATTTTAATTTTTTTTTAAAAAAATGGGTCATGAATTCTATCACTTTCTTGTTAAATAATACTCGGGAATTATTTTCCTGTTTGGCCCAGGGCCTTATAATGTTCAACCGGCTTTGTAAGACAATATAAATATAAGTATGACTTTTCATAAAACAAGTATGCATTTTTATTAGAAAAATATGATGGATCCATCAACCTAAAACTATTAAACTAGACGAATCGCTTGTGAGCTCAGATCGACTTGTTTGATAAACGAGCAGAGTCTGATTCGTTGAACGCTTGTTTAGTTAATAAGTCAGACTTGACTCAACTTATTAAAGCACGAATATAAAAGTTTTATACTCCCTCCTATTCATAATAAGTGTCGTTTTGAGAAGTTGCACAGTAATTAAGAAATTTTTTTTTGCCAATAATGATCCTCATTGATGAATATAGAGATAGATGTTTTGAGAAAAAATGAAGAGTGAATATGAAAAGACGTAGTGTATTTATTAGCTAATGAGACTAGTAATGGAAAAATATGTACAAAATATTTAAAACGTCATTTATTTGGTTAATGGTTGATAAAGTCAAAATGACATTTAAAAATAATAGGAGATAGTCACTCGAGTATGACTCATTAACATGACTCGTTAATATGAATTAGCAAGCCAAACTCCATATCTTTTATGGTCTAGTTTAGTTAACAACTATGCGCAATTTACTTCCTTAACTCCACCTATTCACAAATTATATATACAAAAGGAATTTAAATCAGCCTAACCAAACAAACTCTTTTAATTTGGTCATTCTACCGCAATAATATACTTTGACTAATTGTGTCCCTCACAAAATGCGTGTCAGATTCAAGTCTTCCAAAATCTAACCGACAACCCTCATGAGAAGTTTAAAGGGTCCCACTCAACGGTTCAGATATTTTTTCACGAAATTAATATTTATTACACCTTTTATTTGCATTATTAGTTTTAATTTAGAAAACAATAAAATTATTTTATAAAAAAATAAACATTAAATTATAATTTAAACGTCAACAAAGCTCCAAGCCTACAATGGAATGATTTGCAAATGAGCTCATTGCAAGTGAGCTCAGCTAAGCTCTTGCTCTTTTAAAGTTTGAAAATAGTTTTATTTTTTATATATAGTTTTAATGTTTTATATCATTCAACTTATTAAAATTTGTATTTGATCTATTAATATTGATAACAAATCGAGTTCAAACTCATTTAATTAATGAAACTCGATGAATGCCTGATCTTGAGTATTAAAAGCTCGAGCTTAGAATACACATGATATTGACTTATATTATTTCAATTTTTATTTTTCTTAGGAAATTTGACCTTATATATAATTTATTTATTTTTTTTAAAATTTTTTTTGAAGGAAATTATACTTTAAGCTTAACTACCAGAAAACCAATTCATAACGTCCTCTGTTAGATTTTTTTTGTTCCACAAATTTAGCCGTCTGTTCAGTGCTTGGACCATTTTCTCCAAAGAAAATTCTTCTTCCTCGATCTATTGAGTACTGTCTGAATATATATAGAAAAAAACCCATGCACAGTTTTCATAGTCACACCTTTTTCCCTTTACTTGGCCATGAAACAATCATTTCCAGTTTGATCTTGTTGTGAGTGAGCACTGTCAAATGCTAATCGATGCTCATGAGCCTCTTTATTAGTGCAGATAGTCACAAGTTTGCCCACCAGCTGTTTGTGTTTATGCCTAAACCAATGTTGAGTTTTGGTAGTATTTTCTTGGCTTCTGTGTACAGATTGATCCTCAAGATTGTTGGGTTCATATCTAAGTATGCAAGAAGGTACTACTTTTGATCTTTTCCTTTTTCTCCATTCAATTTGAAGTGTGTTTCTAGATTTTTATTTTCTTTTTTTTTGTGTGTGTGTGTGAGACTGTGAGTATTTGAACATCCTTTTCCTTTTTTTTTTGGGCCCAGATCAAATCATGGTGTGGTTGAAGAGAATAGTTCAAATTTCAGCGAAAATCGTTCTCAAAAGGATGATAAAGTATTTTCCTATAGTTCCACAGGTTTTTTATCAAGTGGGGTTGCTGAAAAAGAGAGTTATTTAGATTATGAAAATAGCAAAAAGGATTTAGGTGGAAATTTTGCAGAGACAGGGGACTCTGTTTTCTTGCAAAGTGGCTTGATTTCTAGCTGCAGTAAGTATGAATTTGTCTCCGGTGAAAATGTCAGTTTTCAACTCGAAGAGGCAAAAGAAAAGAAATGTTTGGTTCAAGAGATGTTTTTGGGATCAGATGAAGCTCATTTGACAAAGATGAACTCATTTGAGCAGAATTTGGATAAAGATGAACCGGAATTCGATGAAAATTCAAGCGCCCTTTCCTTTCGTTTTAATCTGCTGAATATTGATATGGGAAGTGCAGATAATAGAAATCTTCAGGATGAAAAGAACTGTGAGGAGAAAGAAAAAATGAGCTCAAATGACTCCAAAGAATTTCAAATTAAAGGAGCAAGGCATATGAAAGAAGAAATTTTGGATGATCAAGATTTTTTTTATGTGGTTGAGTTACTCCCTTTCAGTGAGTTCTCTGCCGTTGATGAAAATCAAGAATCCGAAATTATAGGGAATGATGAAATCAAGCCCACCAATGAAAATGAGCACGATGTTAACGATAAACGATTAGCTATCGAGAATTTTTTGCCGAGCATGGAAAAAGTTGAGGATTCGGAAGATGAGTACATTGAATTCAAACCTTCTTCTGCAAATACTCGCTTTTGTAATAATAATGATGCTAATATCTCCCGAGAAAGCATGAATTTTGATTTTTCCGATGATGACGAGGATGAAAACGACGTTTTGTGGGAGCATCAGAACTTAGTCCGGCAGATTAAAATTGAGATGAAAAATTGCAAGGTTAGAGGAAAGCTTCCCACAATATCTGAAGAGTGTGAAGAATCTCCTAAAATGGCCGAGGATTTGAGACCTCTTGAAATCAACCATAAAATCGAGTACAAAGATGTAATGGACGAGATTCACAAGTTCTACAAAAGCTACTCGGAGAAAATGCACAAATTGGACGTCTTGAATTATCAAACCTTGCATGCAATGAGTAAGTTAAATTTGTTCCATCATTATCTTTTTATTTAACTGTCAATTTGCTGATTTTATTGGTGACACTAAATTTCTACGATAAAAATCACATCTTTGATATTGCCTTTGATGTGCCCTTTCGAGATGTGCTGCTAACTGATTTTTACTTGATGGATTGTGTTTTGATGGTAGAGTAGAATTTCTTTATTTTTGTTTATTTCTTTTGTGTATGCAATTAGCTATGTATTCAGTGTTTGTAACACCTAATCCTGTTCAAGAATCTTTTGTCCAAAGGCTATATTAAGAACCTTTAATAAAGTTATCTCCAAGTGTTTTTTGTGCCTAGAAAAGCTTATGTGCTCACATCAAATTTAAATCTCTAGCAATGGCTACTTTATTTTGTGTAATGAACCTTTATTTATCCGGCTTTTGTGAAAACTACTTCCAATATGGTNGAAAAAAAAAAAAAAAAAAAAAAAGAAGAAGAAGAAGAAGAAAAAAAGAAAAGGTGATTTTGTTTTTCAGAATAAGAAAAATCATCGAGGAATTTTGCTATCTTCGATAAATTACATTCTGAAAAACTGAAAACGGGTTTCTGTGACGTTGTGAGAGGGTATTAGTAATCTTGAAAGATAATCTGGAGTTTCATTTTCTTTTTGTTTTTTAATTATCAGGATGAAGTTTTGGAGCTGTTTTAGTTAGTTCTGTATTTATATGATCATCTCCAATAAAGTAGTGAATTAGTGATCACTGAGCATATACTTTTGTGCATTGCTAACTCAGCACAAACACCTAACTCCATTAACTTACTTCATTCTTAATGGAAAGGTGTACCTTTTCTTTTCATGAACTTAGTGCACCCGAAAAGTTGAAAACTATATCTTATTTATTGCGAATTTTTTTTCAAATGAATTTATTTTAGGTTTCCTCCGGTTGAAGGACTCCGAAGTTTTTACCACTAGCAAGAAAAAAGGAGACTTGATAACTTTTACAAATTTACCAAAACTTTGGCCTTGCAAAGTCCCGAGGATCCATACCGACCCATCACAAAAGTCGATTCTCGAAATGAATCGTGATTTGGAATTGGTTTATGTGGGGCAACTTTGTCTTTCTTCGGAAATTTTACGTTGGTTGTACGTAAAATCACGAGAGTTACTGAAACACGACTGTAAAAAAAACCACTCGTACAACCGAGCTGCCGAGGAATTCCAGCAGTTTCAAGTGCTGTTGCAGAGGTTCATGGAGAATGAAGAGTTTCAAGGGCAAAGAATTCAGAATTATGTTAGAACTCGGTTCACTATACGCGGACTTCTTCAGGTCCCGATGATCAAAGGTAAAAAGATATGATATTTTGAAAAATAAAAATAAATGAAGAAGTGATTGGCAACCTTTTTCATCGATACAACTTTTATTGAGTTCCCATTTTGTAAAAATGCCCCTAAAAAAAACACTAATGTTAAGGCTATGTTCGGTAACTAGATAAGCTAGTTTATAGCTTATTTGGTTAGCTTATAAATATAAGCTTCATGTATACAAAATAAGGTTCGTTTGGTATGACGAGCTTTTTTAAAAAGCTGGTAGTTTTTCAAATAAACTCGTTGAAAATTTTATTTCAGCTAACTTACCAACTAATTTTACCAAATACTTTTATCATATAAGTTAGTTTTCTGAGCTAAAAGCTCAAAAGTCACGTATAAACTAATTTTACCAAACATATCCTAAATGTTTTTTCAAGCCTTTTTTTTCCCCGACACATGCAACCAACTTCTGATTATCTGTTGGTTATCAAATTTGTGAAACACAGACGATTGTTTGAAGGCTAATAAAGAAACACGAGATGAAATGGACGTGATTTCGCTCGAGAAGCTATCGGAAATAATAAGAGAATCAATGCTTATTTTCCGCGAATTTGTTCTTGCCGATAAAAGTTCGACAAATGTGGTTCTAAAAGGTATCCAAGGAACTAAACTTGATCCTACACACTCTCCAAATGCAGAGCTTTTAGTGGAGACCATCTCAAATCTTCAGAAGGTATATATGATTAACTAAATAACTAATCTTTTGCTCGATTAATCTATAATCTTAATTACCGTGTTAATGTGAGTTGATCTCGATTATTTTTTGCAGAAGGAAAGAAGAATCAGAGACCACATTCGAAGCCAAAAGTGTATAGTCAAGAAATATAAGAAACCCGAAAAATGTCATTCGGACATGGATTTATCGACTTCTCAAGTCGAGTTGAGGTTGGTCTCGAGGGTTCTTTTTCTTTCAAGATTAACCACAGATCAAGTGTTATGGTGCCAGAATAAACTTAACTGCATCAGTTTTACAGGCAGGAAAGTTTATGTTGAGCCTTGTTTTTTGCTTTTCCCTTGTTGAATATGTAATATTTTCTTCTTCTCCTCAGGTTTTTTAATTAAGGAGTAGAGAAAAACAAATAGCAATTAGATAAGTTTTT